TATATAATGCTGATTTCTTACATTATTTAGTAAAAAGTTGTCAAATAAATATTTCGTTATATCAAAAATTGTGAATTAAATATTGAGTAATTTTTTATGAAAAGTTTAAAGATTTTTGAATTTTAATTGTATAACAAAAAAGAATAAAGTTATACTTAAGCGGTCTTGTGTTTTTATATGCATTTAATGAACAACGTATTATACTGTGTTTATAGTATAACATGGTAATCTATGTGTCTTCACTTAAATTAAATCATATATAGATTACTTGAGAAAAAGAAAGAAGTACTTCGAACATTTCTGCATAAATAACATTATGCGTAAAAGTCTACATAAGTATTAAATTAGGAAGAACTTCGATTTTTTCTACATTTCTAATACAATAAATAATATTTATAACACTTGTTTTATTTGTACAATGTAAAATGTACAATTGGTTTCCATTCTTTACGTATTAAAATCTAAATTAAAATCTGATTTGATGTAAAAAATTTTTTTATTTTTTTTATTATTTAATTATTTAATTTTAATCATTTAATCTGAGTTAAATAAAAGTAAGAATACTTATTTACGTGATGCAAGTAGTATATACGATTTAATTCTTTCTAATCGACATCTTGACATAAATATATATATATTTTTTTAGTTTTAAAATGTTATAAATTTATTTTTGAAATTTAGTTTTAAATGTTATCTTTAGTAATGAATACTACCTTTGTATAATGAATCCCCATGTTTCAATGTTATTGAATTGTTGGACATCCCAAATTACAACGTAATCTATTTTTGATATTTTTGCCCAAGTCTTCGATTGTAAAATATTCATGACATGGAAAAGAATTTTTTGTACATATAATATATTGTGTGACATGGAAACGTTATTCCAAATTTTGATACTTGTATTAAAACTAGGAATGTAATGCAAGCTGGTTATCACAATCGTTAAATGTCCAATGGACATAAAAGGCGATTTGACAAAATGTGTCCACATCATGTTATTTTCATTATCATATTCTTTCATATTTATAATCATATTTGATAGGGCTGTGTACGTTTTATCATGCTTTATAGAAACTGTGAAGGTGGTCTCGAACGCTGATTCGTTCCAACATGGAAATATTTGTTGGGCTCTCATTAGCTCAACACCTGTTTCTATTAATCTGTTTCATTTTAAAACATAATTTATATAACATCTTAATCATATGTTGACTAAGAATTGATTATTTTGACTTACTGTTTTTCCCCTATTTCTTCTTTGTAAGATTCGAGAAATATGTCGTCATCGAATATGCTGCAGACATATATTATCTCTAAGATATACGTTCCAGGAAATAAAACATTTATTGGCGAATTGGTGAAATCAATATAAATGTGCGTTTCATCGATAAATGAATAGTCCGGCACTATAATCATCTGACTATCATCGTTGTTAATCACATCAATTTTAAGTATACCGAAATTTTTTGAAGGTATACTTATATTTGTTATTTGACGTGTAATATTAATGGTTATATTGCATTCACCGAAAAGAATATTTCTTTCGAAGTCAAGTTCTATTTTGACATCATAATGCAATGGTACTAAACCAGTATAATTCAATGAATGGTAATTAACTTCAGAATCACTATTTATGAATTGAGGAATAGAGAAAAATATTATCACGATAAATAATAATTTGATATTTAATGAAATATTTCTCAATGCCATACTAATTTCCGTTTAAAGTATCTGAAAAAAAAATTTCATGAATAGTAAAAAACACATATTTGCGATAAACAGTACTTTTTTTCTATATTACGAAAGGAAGCAAATAACGATTGTAGCTATTCATACTAAGATGTCAGATTTTATAAAAAAGACACGAAACATGAAATTATATCATTTCCGGTAGTATTAAAAAAACGTAATTTTAATTGCTGGAGATTACACAGAATATATATATGTTACGAAAAACATAATTTACCTAAAAATTTTGTAAAGTATAAAATTAGAAAAGGTAAGAATATATAAAACTTATACAATATTGAAACACACAATGAATACTAAAAGCGCAACTTTTCTTGTTAAAAATTAAAAATTATGGTTTTAAGATTATCGAAATAATTATTGGTTGTTTCACTGTAATCATTATATATAATTATATTTTTGATAACTTGTAATATTCTACTATGTTGCACTTACTTACAATCTATTATAATTTTTTCATGAAAGCACATATTATATGAAAAAAGTTACATTGAAG